TGTCTTTAGGGCATCCCTAAAGATGAGTATGCTGAGGTTTTCTGGTCATGGCTACGAAGAATTTAGACATGTGTAGATGTAAACAGGGAATGCTTTGAGGGATTGAAAGTATTAAGAATCTGCTTAACATACTTTCCCTATTTTTAGATGACCTTTTGCATTATTTATTGAACGACCCTCGTTTTTCAAACTTTTGAGAATCCACTTCTGATTTTCACCGCTTCTATAATATGCTGTAGCACAATACTTCTGAAGTTTCTCCTTTACAGCAGTTAGTATTTTTGAGAAAAATAAAGACAGGGGATTGGTAGAGCATTTGCTGGAGCCGGCAATAAATCTTTGTTTGCAACAAATTGCTTAAACTTCCTGATGTTGTGAAAGAATTTGAAAAAAAAAATTATAATAGGATATCTATTTAAGAAAAACTGTTCAAAATTTGAAAGATCTAAATCATAAGCAAATTCAGTGAACTCCCAGTAAACTTGAAATAAAAGACACTACAGCTTCTGCCACATCAGTTTCATATTTAGATGTTTTACTAACTATAGACGATAAGGGCCAACTTACAACTAAATTGTATGACAAACGAGATGGCTTCAGATTTTCCATCGTCAAGTTTCCTTATTTACTAGAATGTACCACTATCACTTGCATATTGTTTCTGTTTCCTAACTCATTCGATAGTCGAAAGCATTCTCTGAGTGAGATCATTTTTAAACTGAGGCTGGCCTTTGACGGTACATATTGTCGTCGGCGACAATATGTACCTACCCTCACTGAACGTATTGTCGTTCATCAGTACATACTGTCGCCGCCTTAAAAGTTACACATGTACATTTAGTCGCTGGCGACATTATGTGGCTTACCCTCACTGCACATAATGTCGCCCCACAGATATTGCTGCTTAAAGATTTTTTGTTGTTGTTTTTTAGGTGGTTTTGTGAATGTAATTGGTGTGTAAATCACACTGACGTGTTTCGTCTTTTTCATAGTATGTCGATTAACTTTCGTAACGATTTTGTTTTAAATTTCACGCACAGAATGCAGATTTCAAAAATAACTGAAACTTTTCTGAAAGTGACCATGGTATCTAATATCATCGATTCTAGTTGCGAGTCTGCTATTTTAGACGAATACATTTTCGACATATCAAATTGAATTAGACAAAATCAGTTGTCTCTCTTAAAAAATAACTTCCGTAATGGTAATTCAGGAAAGTTTTTGCATTAAAGGTATATTTTTTCATTATTTTGGGAGCGAAATGCTTCATACTTTTTTTTTTATCCGAAAACTAACTTTAATTTTAACTATTGCCGAGATTTTTAACTTTTATTGCTGGGAATTAATTTCCGTACGATTAACTTCCGTAACGATATTTTTTCCCGAACTTTTAACTTAATTTCGGATTCATGTCAGACTTTATGAGTTATACTTAAGCGTTCTATACTGAACATCAGAAACAAAAAATTGGTCAAATTCAGTTTTATTTAAAAATAATAAGACTTTATCAAGCATTTACTTCCGTAACATTACGTTAAAATCAATGGTATATTAAAATTGTTTCAAAAATTAACAATACCATATTTGTGGACAATTCTTTATTTTCAAGTTCACTGATATGTCTTTTAGTGAATTATAATGTTCATTTTGCTATTTGAAACACTTATTTTTTTCATGTTTTATACCCTGAATTGGTCCATTTATCGTAGAATGACTTTAAAGTCTTTTTCATGGAATGTAACACGTTTACCCTCTTTGAGAAAATAAAATTATCATTTCACGTAATTTAATTCATAAATATTGGCAATATATTGAGTTAATGAAGATTTTTAACAATCTTGATAACATAAAAAAGACGTGTTTTAAATATTTATAATAAAAATTATTTTTGCATAGTTTGTGTCTTTACGAAATGTTATTGAAATGCCTGACTCATAGGAAATATAGCGTCTATTGCTAGATATAGCTTCTAGCAATATATGTAAAAATTCCGAATTTATTCAAAGCATAAATTAAATTATAAAGAGCGACTGTTCATATTTTCTTCTTGAAATTTATATTCCTTGAAAATAATTTTCAAAAATAAGTTGAGATGAAAATTTTATTAATAAATAATTCTCCTAAAGATTTTCATTGCTTGATTGCCTTTTGTACATGTTAAAGGTTATCCGACATAAGCGTAATATGGAGTTTAGTACACTATATACGAGGGTTGTTCGGAAGTTCGTGGACTACCTTCATAACTTTTTTACTGAATGTCATAATATATCCAAATTTGGAAGAAATATTTCTACAGTAAATTCAAATGATGTGTATTAATTTTTTAAAATATCATGGTTTATTGCAAACTTATTTAAACTTTAAAAATGCGAAAATCGGATCACGGAGCAGGTCAAAATTTTGTAATTTACAATCAAGACACGGAATAATGCCTGAAGTCATATCTTCTGTAAAATGACACAAAAAACGGAAAAATTCTAGACGTTCAAATTAAGAATTGTTTCATCGTTTCTGATTCCAAATTATGACATAATATTTGGCTTCGTTGAAAAGAAATCAGTTTCAGAAGATAGGTAGTCCTCATTGAAAGAAGGCAAAAAAGATGACGTCGTAGAACGTCACGGAGCAGCAGTTAACCGTACAATTTGTGTTGTACTCTGGAAAACTCCAGGAAAAAAACTCTTAAAATGCCGGATGAAGTAGGAAATATGTCAAAAGCGAGCCATATTTGTGTGTGTACATGGTACAAGCGGTATTTTAATTATAGACTATTCTGCTTAGACGATGGTGATCTGTGAGAAAACGGATAATCTGTAAAAATCCGTCAAAAACATTGAAAAGTTAGTAACGCCGTGCTAAGAGTTTGGTGCTTCACAGATGCTGATCTTGTGAAAGAAAACTTACGCAGTGAAAAAAATATAATATTGACAAACAAAATGATGCTACTGGAACAACTGTTAGCAAAATAGATTTCAGGTGATAGAGAAACGTTTTTAATGAATGCACTGGCAGTGGGCAGTACTGAGTGAAATGTATAGGGATAGTATTTTTGAGAACCTCATGTCGGTATGTTTTGACGTTACAGTGTTGTTGGGTTTACTCCATGGTTACAAAATGTGTTGATTCTAAAATTAAATAACATGAATTCTATTAAATCACATGGAATGAAACTTCACAATTAAACAAAATAAATATTTTTACATATGATAATGTGCTCATTTTAAATTTCTTGAAGATAGTATAACGAAGATTGGCGTAGTCCACGAACTCTCCGAACAACCCTCGTATTTGATACAAAATGATTGCAGGACCAAATAAATAAATCATTCCTGAATATCTCATGAACACATTAATTTTATCGATATACGAAATAAATAAAAGAAATTATCAAATTTCGACGATATTTGATTAATTAACAAAATTATTCTATTAATATTTAACACGATTACAATGACACAATGGAAATTATGTTATTCGATTTCCAATATCCAATTGGTTCAACATGTTTAATAGATAATGTACTTGCTGGTATTAAAATTCTGTTTACACAAAGAGAGCTTTTAACTGCACTTCATCTTTTCTTATCTTCACATACATCTGATCGATACAGGAAAGAAACTTGTAAGAAATAAGCATGAACAAATCACATAGATGTCATTTTTTCTTAAATGTTTTGGCGATGGCCATAGTAACTTAGACTTGAGCTTAGAGAATATGGGAGGATAAGGCGTGGGAAATGCCTCTAGCTTCAAGTGCATAAAATCAGTGTAGAACCAAACAACGTTATAATTTTAACACGTATGAAATTAGGATAACAACATTTTTTTCTGCAGAAAAAAGTATTCTTTAAGAAATATTCTTTGTTATAAAAATTGCCAATTTGGTAAATGAACCAAAAATATTAAAAAATCCGAAATATTATTTTTTCATTGAGACTTAATTTTGTTCTTTTTTTCAAAATCTCTTATTGATGGAATTAAAGAATGTTACAGTGCATATTTATCCCATATTTTTCACCTATTCGTCATACATGCCCCATTCACTATAACGATATCATGTTCTTTTCATTTGGAACAAACTTCATATTCCCATGTACTGCATTGATCACAACGTGATTAACTTGTGTGTTCTTCTTGATACCAACACTTAAGACAAGTGACTTTTGGGTATTTCCGAATAAATTCTCACTTGAAAAAGCAAATCTTTTTTGAAATCTAATTGTCCATAAATTTGATCTCATGTTTCCAAGCAACATACTTTGTGTAATTGTAGGCCACCGACTATCTTACCTGGATAATTAGGGATAAAAGTTCAACTCCTATATATAGATCGTAGTGATATTTTAATTTATTTGACATTAATATAAGCAGGCAGGTGTGTGAATCTAACAACTGTCGAGTTTGGTACAACCTCATGTCATTTGAATGCTTTGCCCTATACTTTTATACCTTCTAGGAATTTTCAGACTCATAAATTCAGCTTCTTTTCACAAGCTTTAACCAAGTGAATTTAAATTCCTTTGTCCGACATCTGTAACAAATTTTTAAAAATTCAAGTCATCAGGACTGATATCTCGAAGACTTTGTCGATACATGTGTACCCATTCGCGTTGTTATGGTCGCCACATCCTTACTATTGTAGATCACCAAAATTTTGAGACAACTTATTGGTAATTAGAGGGAAAATGGTAACGCAAGTTACGCAAGAAATAATTCATATCGGGATCGTATTGTGCTTTTTTGCGAAGGGATGCTCAGCTATGAGGTGCCCTTTTTTCGTTGGAAGTTGTTAAGTATTTATAAGAGAAACAAAATTTTATATATATTTTAGGTATGACTTTTATAAGGTAGATGTAACTTTCTTTGTGGAATTCGTACATTTCATCAACTCTCCAGTGAGTTTTATATTAGGTCAAGGTTAAAATTATAGAGATTAAATTCATTAAGGATCATTTCATTCAAACATTGATCAACCAACTCATTATTTTACAGTAGCAAACATTCATAAATATTATTTATTAACAGGCAAAAATTCCTTTTAGACAAGGAATACCACTGTATTTAGTACAAATTTCTGTGTCTTTCTTTAAATACAAAAAATAATAATAATTAGAATTGTTATTTCAACATTGTAAGGTTGGCCTTGCAGGAGTCCATGCATCTGGTAAACTGGTCATTACAAAACTCCCGGCATCTTTTCTCAAAGGGATGTCCTTCGCATTTGTAGTAAGCTTGGCAACCCCTGAATATTTCTGTACACTTGTAACAAGGGCCTTCTCTTTCTTCGCCGTTCACATGTACAACAGCGACAAGTAAACATGCGATCAAAATCATTTTTCTCAAAATAGGAAACATTCTCCTAGTTCCAGAACCTGCAAACAAAAATTTACAGCATTGTTGACATCAATACATTTCTAAAGGTTTTCCTTTTGAGGAATTTAATGATAAACAAGCATTCTGAAAATATTGCATTAGCAATACTAGTCCCCTACCAGCAAGTGTAATTTGGTTCCCGTTAAAAATTGAAAATGCCATAAATCCGTCAAACATTAGTGAAGCGGAACGAAATGCAAACATGATCTATAACTCATCAAGGTAAAGTACATACCAAAAATCAGCTCAATATCAGCAAGTGTATAGAAAAAATTGCGAAAAACCCTGAAAAATTGAAAAGTTCATAATTCCGTCAAAAATCATTGAAGCGTAACGAAATGCAGACTTGATCTGTAACTCATTAAGATTCACTCACATACCAAAAATTAGCTCAATATCTGCAAGCGTTTAGAAAAAGTGCGGAAAACCAAGTGGGACAAACTGACGGACAGACAGAGGGACAGACAGACGGACAGACAGACAGACGGACGGACAGACTCAGAGGAAACCTATAGTCTTCTCCGGTTTCATCGGAAGGGGACTAATAAGTCATTATATAACATTGATAATTCCAACTATGAAAATATCCAATTTTATATATACAACAAAACGGGAAAAAACACAATTGGAATGAATGCGATGTAATGTAAATGAGGCTGGTTCAATTTTTTTTTCTGATACAATTAATTAATATAAATTTTCTGTAAGAAGTTAAATACCAAATGTTTATATGCATATATAGTTTATATTGAACATTTGAATGTTGATCAAAGAAAATCTAGTATTCTTTACTTCTTTTTTTTTCTTTCATTTTAAATAAAACATGAAGTTTCAAAAGAAAGTTAATTGAGCTTTACTTTAAATTCTACGGAGTATAGTTTACTACGATGACCGATATGGGCCGGGGCAAAAAGTAACAACGAGTTGTGTTTGATTTGCCGGCAATTCTTAGATGCTGGCAAAAAGTAACCACGAGTTGTGTTTGATTTGCCGGCAATTCTTAGATGCCGGCAAATCTCCGGTACATGCAATGGCAATTCTTATATGTAATATTTAATTTATATGCCAGAGGATATCAAGTTAAGTCAAGTCAAGTTAACTTAACAGGGCAAATGGTTTGAAAAAAACCAGAATACTGAGAGAAGTGAGGGGGGAAAACGCATATAGACATTGTTTAAGGGGTTTCCAGACCCTTGCACTCCACATAAAAGCATAATATCTTTTAAAATTCATACGAACACATATTTTATTTTATCTTCAATAGTTGTGTTAATTATTTTAATAACAAAGCTAGTGTTCCCTCAAATACATAATGAACGCTGTGCACGCTGCCTGTTGATTGACGGCACAGCTACATGTAGTCAATTGATTAGATGTTTAAAAAACCTGCCTGGTTCATAAACTACCAAACTATCATAAACACTTGTGAGGATGATCATGAGAGTACAGGAAATCTGAATTTGTATTGTCCGTTTTTATCTAGGCTCCACCATATCCTAGTCAAAGATTATGAAAAACTGTTTAAAGACAGTGAACGTAACCCAGACTAGTGTTGAAATAGCACCCGGTCCCCACCCCCATCCCCCGTTATAGACTTCTTTTAATTTTCGGGGAGGCTGCCTTGTAGCCAGTTAAATATCTTGACTTCGCTTTGATATGTCATAAATAATGCCACGTGTTGAGTGAAACTGCTTTGTTGTTGTTTTTGGTTTTCTGTTTTTGTCAAACTCTTTGCCCAATTTAAGATAACTTGACTTCTGAAACCTCTATATCCTCTGGCAATTTAATTAAATATTTTAAATAAGAATTGCCGGTATCTAAGATTTGCCGGCATCTAAGAATTGCCGGCAAATCAAACACAACTCGAGGTTACTTTTTGCCGGCATCTAAGAATTGCCGGCAAATCCAACACAACTCGTGATTACTTTTTGTCCGGCCCATATCGGCCATCATAGTTTACCAAATGAAAAAAAAGTGAAAATATCGACCAATTACCAATCTTAAAAAACCTATACAAAGCTATGAAAATGTCATAAAACACGGACCCATAGAAATTACAGAGGTGGGATCAGGTGCCTAGAAGGGGTAGGCATCCCCTGATGACAGGTCACACCCGCCGTGAGCACCATGCGTTTCGCTAAAGCGTTTCAGTGAGGAAGCAAAATAACACAGCCTTCAAAAGCTCACACAGACATAAGAATGGTATCTATCGATCTGCTTACTGGTATTATTTCTACCCTATGTCTTATATTCAGCTCTTATTATAGCAATAAAATTACGTCATTCAGTAAATAAATGCAATCTTTTAAACGTTTGACTTTTATATTTCAGTATCAACTTTTGAATTAATATATCTGTATGTTTTTATTTATTTATATATTTATTTATTTATTAATCTACTCTACTTTTGATCAGCTGAAAAAATATTGCTATGGCCTTCATAAACTTACCTAAAGAAACAGGTTCGAATATATTCATCAAACTTTAGAGGTTTTGCTAATGAAATCCAAAGCCTCAACTTATATATAATGTAAAATTATAACCAGTATAAACCGATAAATTATTCAAATATATTTTCCTCGCCAATTTCAGTGGTATTGACATTTAAACTTCCTGTTGACAACATTTAGTATTTGTAGTTGATTTACACTTCTATTTTTATGTCAAGTCATTTTGTGTATTTATGACAGCATGAATCGCGAAGCCTGGCATTTTATATGGTCCTAAGTATCAAATAATGATTGCCTGATTCATGAGCAGATGTTGCTTGCCCTTTCAATTATAGATATAGATAAACATTCATTCATAAGAATATATCTGACCGTTCTGCAGAGATAATTGATAGAGAGGTACACAATGAAAGGACGAGCATATTTTTTTCTACTTGTATAACATTAAAATTGCAAATGCAGAACACAGATATTCTTCTAGTTTAAACATAATTTCATATAAAGAATCCAAGAAGGGGAGGAGATAGGAATAGGGTAAATACACTGCATTTCAAGGTCTACCGAACAGAGTTTCGGGACAGGATTCTCAGCTAGAATATATATTTTTATGAATAAATTAATATTTTAGGGGGTACCATATGGATTGAAATTCACTTCGGTTAAAGCATGAATTCATTATAAGTGTGTGCTTTAAGACCTTTTTCTGAAGACATTATGAAGCAGCCAATAATGAATTTTTACATGTATTCATATAGATTCCTTTTTCTAGTGTTATTTTCAACTAATGCCATCTCGCACAATGACAGGTTATTCAAATGATTCAATATGAATTCTATAAAATAATTACTACATAGGGACTGGACACGACCAGTTCTCAATATCACATCCCTGACCTTCTCCCTACCCCAAACATTTTAATGTCTTATTTGTTAAATTGTGCAAAAAGAGAAACATTTCTTTACATAATAACTCACTTCAGTACAATATATTTTTGTCCTAGTTGTATTTCATGCCCAGCATTAGAATATGGTATTCATTTAAGTTTCTGACTTAACTGAATGTTTGCAACATTATAAAGATTGCTTAGTTGTCGATATTTGCAAGATTTAACAGCTTGTTTTCAAATGCAGGTAGAAAATGCCTAATAGGAAAAATGTGTATCCATTATACGAATTTTGATTCCAATTTTTTCTCTTTAAATTATCTGTGGAAAAAAATCTTTTGAAAAGCTTATTATTTATGTCATGTCACTCCTAACAAAAATATGCTACAGTGTACATGTATAGTTAACTATAGTTTACAATAGTTAACTTATTGTTTACTGTTGTATCAAAGTTTTAACTATAGTAAATCAAAGTTTTCACTACAGTGATTTGATTTACTTTATTGAAAACTTCGATACCATAGTATCACCCTACAGCAATAGTCCTGCTGGACACGTCATTACCGGTGATGTAAAAATAGTTCAAAACGAAGACCTTTAGGTAGAACCTATGTCGGAAAAGTCTTTGTCACAGGATTTTCAAACTTTTTAGTAATTAGCACTTGCTTATTAATCAGTTAAAAAACATGGCATGTCTCCTTGTTATTAAATGTAGTGCAGCCGGCGCAATTTAGAATGATTATTATACACTGCAACTATAATTTTCAGCCAATTTTAGGGGTACATGGTCATGAGAATATAGAAAGTCACAAAAACACTTCCTCAAACACCTTTGTTATAGACTTTATTAACTGAAGAATAGTTAGAAATATTATCAAAAATTAAATTTGTTTTTCTTCAATTGATATAAAAGATTAAATCCACATTTCAATAAATATACTCAAATGCTCTCAGTATTTTTCAAAGGATTTTTTTGTCCATCTATAACCCTAGATTTGTATATATTTACCAAAAGTCTTTGTGACAGTGTTTTGAATCCTTAATATGATGAAGAACATACCCAAATGATTACGAAAAATGATTAAAATATATACCTTTCCCCGCAAACTAATGAGAGAGATATTTTTTCATCAATACTAGATGTGTTGACCTTATTTGCAATTACACAGGATTTCATAATTAAATGAATGTTTTGAGGTTACTTTCAGATTTACAATATGAATATTCATCAAAAAATGAAAATTTCTATTTAAAAATTAATATTTTAGCGAAATGTTATTATTATACACAAACTACTAAAGATCCAAATAAATAATTAAAAAATAAATATGAAAATGAATACATTTCATTTCATAATAGACATTACGAACATTAAACACAATTTTTAATACATTTAAGACTCAGACAATATATCATCAAGATATTGTACTATTTAATAGTCGACTGAAGATTTCTTAGCAACTTTACATTCCTTCAAAATAGTTGCATGTCATTCACTTATCAAAGTTGTGTATTTTCATTAGCTGAGACAGTCTTGCATTCGTTCACTTAACTATGACGACATACGAAGTAGGTTCTACGTTAAATCCCTTATTTTAAAAGGGTCCTTATTCTAAAAGGGCCAAAAAGACGTTAATGGTAACTAAACAACAAAGCATAATGATAAACGTGATGACTTCAACTTTTCAATCGTCAACTTCCCTTACTTATGTAGCAATATACCTTTATCATCTGCGTATGGGGTTTATGTCTCTCAGTTGATTCGATACGCAAGAGCATGCTCTACATGAATGAACACTTGTATGAACAATATCTAAAACGAAACAAGCTATTGACAAAAAAGTTGATGAAACAAGAATATCAACAGTCTCCATTGAAGTCATCTTTTCGCAAGTTTTACGGTCGATACAATGACATTGTCAGCACATACAGCCTATCATTGAGTCAAATGCTGACTGACGTTTTTCATACTACCCCTTATTGTTAGGTCATTATTTACACACGGAATTGTCAACGGATTTTTCCGTTATTTTCCAGCAAATATTACTAATACTACTCATAATATAATGTGCATTTAACAACATGTAATAAAATGTATTTCAACAATCTATTACTGTTTCAAAAGTGAAAACAGTATTATAAACCATGAATATTCAACCATTTTCTATAAAAGAGTTGCTGGCGTGATACTGGCGTCATGTTTACATTAACAACGACATATGCTTTAAAACATGCAATTTGATTGGTGAAAAATTTGTGTAAGCAAGTCTACGGTAGGCAGGAGAGGAAACCCGAATAAACCTCCTTAAACTTCTACTTTAGAGAAGATCATTCTGATATAAACCTCAGGAAAAAGGTCCTTGAAAAATCAGAGAGCATTAAAACTCCTGATCATTTAATAATAAAAAAAACTCGACTACGTTTTTATCAGTTAATACTAATAATTTCCACTCGAACGCTGATTTAAAATATCTCCGGGGTTTGAATTCAAAATAAAAGATACCACAGTGTCTGACACATCTGTTTCATATTTGGATATTCTACTAGAGAAAGACGTTGATGGCAAACTAACTACTAAATTTCATAAAATATGTGTTGACTCCAGCTCTTCTATCATTAACTTCCTTATTAGTGTAGTAATATACACGTATACCATTAACATCTGCAAATGGAGCTTATGGCTCCCAGCTGATTCTACGTGCGAACAATTTCAAAAGCAAGGTATTGACAAATAATTAATGATACATGAATTTATTTTCAACATGTTTAGCAAATTCCTACGTAATTATTTATTTTTTGTATGTTCCGGTTGATTTTTTGTATGTTATTTAGGGTCCCATTTGAGAATTTTTCACTAATATGGAAACTTCACCATATACCAGTGAAGGGTTTCAAATTTAGACCTATACTGGGCACTAAGGGCCACTGAGTAGTGAGGGTTCTTTATCGTGGCTACGCCTACCCTGACACGAGACCTCGGTTTTGAAGGTCCATCGGACAGAACCGTGACTTTCACTTTTAATGCCGGGCGATTGGCGAAGGAACAGTCACTACGTATGTTTACCTCTTAAGTTTGAAGTGGCGCGGCGAACAAGAAGTGAACACCGTACCAACTGGCTCTCGTAACCGGTAATTTTTATGTTTCAAGTGTCTTTTGTTAATGGCTTTTTCGTGTGTACAATTTTATTTCAAATTTTATTACTGTGGGTAGATTTGCACCAAAAAATATGCAATTTGCGGAAGACCCACCTAAGACATCAAAAACAAGCATTCTGAGAGTATTGCATTTGCAATATTAGTCCCCTACCGGCAAGTGTAATCTGGTTCCTGTTAAGAATTGAAAATGCCATAATTCCCTCAAAAATCAATGAAGCAGAACGAAATGCAAAGTCGATCTATAACTAATCAAGTTAAAGTCACATACCAAAAATCAGCTCAATATCCGAAAGCGTTTAGAAGAAAATTGTGGAAAACCCTTGAAAATTGAAAAGGCCGTAATTCCGTCAAAAATCAATGAAGTGGAACGAAATGCAAACTTGATCTGTAACTCCTCAAGATACACTTACATACAAAAAATCAGTTCAATATTTGCAAGCGTTTAGGAAAAAAGTGCGGAAAACCAAGTGGGACAGACTGACAGATAGACAGAGGGACAGACGGATAGACGGACAGACAGACAGACAGACGGACGGACAGACTCAGAGGAAACCTATAGTCCCCTCCGGTTTCACCGGTAGGGGACTAATAAGAGAAAGTGATTCGCTGGAAAAAATAAAATGTGAAGATAAGAAACACAGACCTGAAATCAGGAGTAGAATCAGCTGTTCTGGAGGAGTTAGTCTCACCTGCCACGTGTTCCTTATCATGATCGAGTAAACCAAAAACTCCATAGACGATTCTGTGTTAAAATATTTCCCTAGCAATTTGTACGAAAATGACAAATTTCTAAATAATGACAAATAAGATCATTGTATTGACCATAGAATTTACAAAATGAGGAATCCAGGCGAGATTCTTGATATGCTTGTCTCATCAATGTAGTTGTCGATAGCTTGCTCCGATTTAAAAAAAAAAAAAACTGTTCGCACATACAACATGCTTTTGCGCATCGAATCAACCGGAAGACATAATCTCCATATGCAGACACCGTTCACGATAGCCTAGTGGTAGGGCGTTCGTTTCTCGTTCGCCGCGCCGCGTCAAACCCAATACGTAAACATAGGT